CAAATAATAAAGTGCGTAGCAACTTTACTAGTATCTACAATCAACTATCCACAAGCGCAGTATTTATAGACCATACTTCATTTACATACGAGTAGCAGAGTCAGTATTTAACCCCTAGGTATCCTCATCTTATAATAAAAAGGGCCGAAGAGGCGATCATCGCCTCAGCGAAGAATGTTTCAATGGCCGAGGGTGCAGGTTTAGGAGTGCTGAAATCTGAAGAAGAAGCTTGAGGATATAGCGACCTCGACTATGTCCTTCTTGGTGCACTTACTAACCAACAGCATGATACCGACTGGATCAAAGGTGTCTTCTAACCCATCTCTTTCTCTCAGCAGAGATGGAGTAAATTTGCCATTTTGAAGGTATGACAGGCGGGGGAATGTGCGAGGAGCTCATTGCTTAGTTCTCACAGGGAGGAATCTTCTGTCTTCCGGGGTTGTTTTGATTTTCGTGATTATTCGTTTCTCATTAATCAGCTGCACTTTGGCAGCCATTCACGAGGTCGGAACGAGTTAGGCTGTAGGAAAAGTTACAGGGAACCTTGCCGGATCCACTGGTCCTTGACCCAATGTGGATAAAGAGCTTTAGCTTAGAACCTATAGACTTTAAAAACACCCCACTTGGGCTCGTATGGTATCTTATCGGGCTAAATGAAATGATATCAAGATCAAAATCAAAATCAAGATCAAGGTCTTTACTATTTATTATTTTTGTATTTTTTTGATCGATAATATACACGTGTACGCGTACGCAATGGGTCTCTTGATGATGTGATGATTCTTGTTCCTTCTTAGATACAGGCGTGTCAGCCATAAGGGCGACACGCCAAGCTGCACCAATCCACGCCACTTACTAAATATCAACATATGGTGATCTCTCTCCTGGCTCATGTACATACCAAAATAGTATAGCGACATGTTCTTTTATTTATAATATTTAGCGTCATGTCTGCGCACAGCACGTGAGCTCCTCATGTACCGGTTAGCCGAGTCTATATAAAACTACCCGACGTGTTGGCGCCTACATAGACCCAACATAACAAATGAAAACCAGGATCTTATTATTCTGCGCTCGCAGTTTGAATTGATGTGAATATCAGCCTCCAGTTGTCTCTCATGGTTTACAGATAGTATTCAATGGAGAATACAAAGCAAAGAAATAAAGTTGGTAATGAGGGAAATTGGTTACATCACTTTAAAGCTCTCTGGCTTTTATTATATGGCCAGCTATTAAATGCATGAAATCCCTCCGCTGAAGTAAGAGTCCAAGGTATGGTGAGATTGAAGATCTGAGCCCTGTAGGGCTGTACCTGGTACTGCCCGAGGTGGCAATAGCAAAAGCGGTCGGGGAACTTCTCTTCTCCACATGGGCAGGTAAGGATGGTGTTTTCGTGCTAAAACCATCGGTGGTAGTCTGCAAAATCATCATGTCCAGATCGTGCAGCTAAAAGATATCTTATTGTGCGTCGCCCCAGACGGGCGAGCTCAATGGTAATTTTAGTATTAGGGCCAATACCTAGTTCTTTATATCTAGACTGTGCGTTTTTGGCCCAATAAAGTGCAACGGAAGCCTCGTACTGGGCTTTAACTTCTCTTCTTGCCCTCGATGTAGAGAGAGCCAAGTGTAGAGCTGGAGCCACACAGGCAGCTTTGGCGAGCGCTTCGGCTGCTTCATTTCCAAGAATACCTGCGCGGCCCGGGCACCATCGGATGGCCACTTCCCTAGGCGTCGTTTTTTGGCCGCGTGGCCAACTTTTCCCCTCCACTGCAAGCTTGTGAAAGAAAAAATCCGGAGCTAAATGCTGTAGGCACATCAGAGAGAAGATGGAGGGTGCCTTCCTGGTTTTCAAGGCAAACGGTGACGTTGGTGGCATAGAAAGCCAGTGGGCTGTTGAGCGCTGCAGTGAGGCCTTCCGTGACCCCAGAAATTTCAGCGTCATAAACTTCCGACGAGTTTCCGAGCGAGAGTGATTCTCGCCCGGTCTCTTGCGTGAGACCTCGATAAATGACGTACTTTGCACCTTCTCGCTCTTTTATGAGTGCTCCATTTAAGAATACGAACAAGTCTAGGATCGGTCGTGAAGCCCGCCATTGTGTGAAGGGATTTGATCCCGAGAGTCTAACTACTGCACCAATTTCGATTAGCTTTTCTTCACGGGGTGACAAACACGATGAGGGGATGGTGTCCCCAGAATTTCTGGCGATATTATTTGGCGGATCCAGCGCATGCGACAAGTGATCTATCGCCTACGAAGAGGGTGATAGGGGTCAGCTGCAGCAATTCGAACCGCTAGACGACTGTGAATTCTGTTAAGCTACGTCTGAGCTGGGCCCCAGCCAGTTTCTTGTAGAAGTGCCGCTATTGGCATAGTGCGATAGACCAGGAGAGCTGACCGAGCTGCGTTTTTTTTTGCATGAGATTTTAATTGCGTATGCAGCTATCTAGCTATGGCCCGACATCAAAGAAATGAATATAATAGATGACTCAATATAAAGGAAGAGCAGTCATACTTCGGGAGTAATTTTCTTACATATATAATACAAGCTGAGCTCTATGTGTTTATTTCGAATTTGTATCAGGGAACTACCTTGGACCCTTGTTAGATTTTGGTGGAGAAAAAATGGCGATTCCTGGAGACAAAGTTTTTATTGTTCTGATTTTCGATCCTGATGAAATTAATTGTTCTCCAGGTTTAGGGGTCGGCGATGGCTAACTATCGAGGCTATTAAGTCCGCTTTTAAGTTGGCCGGGATTGAGTCCATTGTCAGTATGCTGCAACTTTTCCTGCTTCTCTGTGTCGTCAATTGGACTGGCATTCCTCGCAAAATTCCACACAGTTTGCCAGATCTAATCTCCTGTTATTAGCGCGAATATCTTGTCTCCCTCGTTTGGGCAGCTTGATATAGCTACAGGCAGATTGTATGGGCTTTTGAACCGGTAAATTGTTCGAGCGTCCAACGTATTGGAGCCTTTGCTGCTTCAAGTAGACTTCTATTGGAAGGGTAGCAGTTTCGTATTCGAGCACTCTCGTGCTGATCGATTTAATGGCTCCTGTAACTACTTTTTAGCAGTCTCTTATGATGCTTCAGGGGGACTATTCTCAACATCTATCAGTGGTGTCCCCTACGATCCTCCAGCCCTCACTGTAGTCTGTAGAGCCAAGATTGAGTAAAAACTCCTCACTCCGATAAGGATTCTCATTCGCTTTCGCTTTCGCTTTCGCTGTCTGTATCGTCTTCATCTCTCAACACATTCACCTATCACCGTTATCATGAAGCTAACCACGATCAAACCAGTTGGAAGGGTCAGAGCCTTTCTCATTACCAACATTTGATTATGGAGGAAAATTCTCCCGATGAGTTTCCGGAATACACCCAGCACCCGATACGGAGATGGTGGATAAGATCAAGTCGGTCTCGAAAGTCGCGAAGAAGGGAGATAGAGATAAATATGCGCACCTCGTGTGGTCTCAGCCTCTAGGCCTCGCCTAGCTTGGGCTGCAGGTTTTCTGAGACTTTTTCCCGCGCACGCAGTTTCCATTGCTACCATTTTTATTTTTTTGGGGTAGAAGGTCCCATGGAAAAGATGGCTGAATTCTACGGGTAAACACTGAGCTGAATGGCTATTCATCACGGACAATATATCAATGATCTTTGTAGTAAGAAAAGAAGATAGGAGCACTGTTTAAGGTGTGGACTGGGTCGGAAAGGAGCCCGATGTGCTAGATAATCTATCACTCAAGAAGTACAATTAACTTACATCTTTTTGCATGCTTCACAGGGATTTGACCATCCTCTCAGATATTCTACTAAACTGTTGCTAATACTTTTATTGTTCTCTCTCAGTCTATGACTATGTAGGACGTGCAGGTCCTCTCTGCCTACATGCCAAGGATACCAATTTCAGTAGTATATATACTCGTATTCCTTCCATGTAGCTCCCCTCCAACTGTTCTATCCCTCAAATGCCCTCATTCGATCACACAGTAAATTGAACCCTCAGCCCTTCGTTATATCCCCTCTCCAGCCAACAAAACGATGGTCATTTGCGGGTTTGTGGCACTTCTGAGACCCTAACTACCCGCAAACGCAGGATCATTGGGGGGGGGGGGAACCCGCGGTCTAACTTACGAAAGTAAAATAACATGTGAATAAACTCTAGCTCTGTCAGTTAAGTTTTGAAGTGGGCTACCTAAGTAAACACTTTCTGGGCCTGCTTTTTTGGTGAAAACCAAAGGATATCAATGCAGAGTCCCCTTACCTTTTGTCAAATATAGATGTTTGCGGGACAGCTTTCTTACCTGTCCTGTAACAAGTTAAGATAATTTACGGGGATCAATTGTTCGGTAAATAAAAAACCTCCCTTGTTCTCCAGTATCTAGCTCTACCTAATACACAAATATGATCAGACTTGATCTCTGATAATCTAAACTTGGGCATACGCTAGGGATAGAAAACCTGCGGTCCTGAACGAAGATTATTGTTACCAACAAGAGCTAACAGCCCATGTGCATGAAGCCAGTTACTGTTTTTGGCTGTAGACATTTATGTTTAACTTACCTGGTGACTTTTATTAACCATCAATAGAAGTGATAATCAGGCTTAATTTTAATTCTCTACCAAAAAATGTTCTACTTCCAATCAATATGTAACATGAACGTAATAAACTATTATTCTCCAGATGCTGAAAGTCGCGTAAAATAGGACCGGACTTGGTATTTGCAGTTTTGGTAGAAAATTTGGTTGAGAAATGTGTTCTTATATCTACATAAGCAGATTAGTATGAATTGATGATTTTTATGTAGCGCAGAGTGATAATGACGTTTGCAGGGACAAAGACGTCAAGATTAGCCCTGGCTACTGATATTATCCATTCGAACACTTTGCAAATTATGAATATTATGAGAATGTTCTTTGTGTCAAGATGGCAGTGGAGGATTATTCTTATCTATGTCATATTTACTTAGGCATACAGGACCAGAATATTTTATGTCTGACCTAATATTTTTTATAGTAGTGATCCTGTTGAAAACAAGATGAAAATATAAGAGCCCCCTTACCCAACCCATCATGTTGCACGGAGAAAATTTTCGATACCTCCTTCATCAACCGTGGGTTCAAAGACAACAGGTCTACATAGCCTGCACTCATTCAACAATACTAGACAAGTACCTTTCATTTAAAACACGAGAGCAGCACCCTTAGTCTTCTTGTCACCACTATAAGGATCATTAGTAACAAAATCTATCACTGGGTGGGATTCTGCCAGGATTTGATGTAGCTTACCCAAGCTCGAAATGTTTGCATCGCTTCAAAGCCAATTGTGCCTTTGTCTTGCAAGAGGTACATTCTAGTCTTAATACTACCTTTTTGGTTGTCTTTGCTTTTTTGTGGAAGACTGGTTTTGTTTGTCCACCATAACCAGATTGTTTGCGATCATATCTTCGCTTTCCTTGCGCAAATAAAGATGCCTAATATGTGTCAGATCTATCCTTACTATCTCCCGGATCACAAAGGTTATGATTACCTTTCCGGCTTTGTATTGCGTGACTTTATGTTGGGTATGCTTTTTGCAGTCTCTTCCCTTGCAGTAAGTTCGTCTGGTTTTCGGCACGTTGACCTAAAAACAGTAGTATGTTAGCGGCCTTGTTTGTCCTTGTTGTTGCCATCCGAATGAAGTTTTAAAAATTTGAAAATGTTGAAATTTTTATTTACAAGGATTCCCTCAGAGATAAGACGTGGAATGTGGTTGGTTTGATCACAAAATGGGATAGAACGGATTTCACTCCTCTATGTTGCCGACTTTCACGTTATTGTTTTCTTGATCTGATGAATAGAGAAATTTAAATGTTAACATACCATGTTGGCGATTTGGGGGCTGGACTGTCGACTTAGAGGGTGGTCTGATTCAAGTGTGAATGTGGTTTGTGGAGTTAACCTTCGTCATTCTCGCTTATGGGTGGCCCAATTTTATCCGCGGCTAATCATGAGATTTCTGAAGAGTCTATACGCGAACATCGGTGTAAAAATTGAGTTCTATGGTTCTAATTCTGCTGTCCTCCGCAGGTCATAATTGTAAGGCTAGGTACTAGACATTCATCAAAATACTAGTAAGAAACCACAAGTCCATATTTCACGATTTGTATAGTTACATATATCTAAGGTTCTAATCACAGGGACTAGGAGTAAGAACTCTCAACATCCTTCAGCGATGTACCCTATGAAAAATTTATCTCTCACGCCGGCAAAGATGAATTCTTCACCTTCCAGTGGTGCCAGTGTAATCGCATAGTATCCTCTCCATATCTGGGATAGCCAAGAAGAATTTCAACCAAATCGAAGTCGAAAGCAACCTCAAGCAAATCTCCATTTGACGACTTCTCGATAATGACGCTCTTACCATACTCATCAAACCTCTCAATCTCTATAGAACACATATCCTATCGCCTCAACGATCGGTAAAGGCGCCACTCCAATCGTAGACGGAAGCCTGCACCATTAATTACCAGCCAACTCCTACTTCAAAAATATGACGCTATTATACCCGAAAAGAGGGAATTAAGTCCAAGCATATAAACCCTGGGTCTGGATTATGAGGGGTTATTACTTCAATGAGACAAATAATTTTGGTATGATGTGCGACTGGAGCGCAAAACGAGATAAGGAAGAGCTCTTTCGTGGGAATAATATGTCCGGTACATCAGAGGTGTTTTCGACTTTGGAATGATTGTGGGCGCTAAGATCGAGGTTTCGGCCAATTGGCCAGGGGACTTCTATTGTCGATGAGTCAACGGCACTCCCCAGCGCCCTGGATGGCACAAAAAAAGTTGGGCTAAGTTACCATACGTCAATCACGCTCTGTCAAGGCTTTTCTGACATTTCAGCACAACCTTCGGGAAGGAGTTGAAAGGAGTCTAGAAAGGCAGGGGTGATTTTTCCAAGCTATCTACAAGTCTGCAGCGCCCAGCTGGCTGGCCTCTTCGAACGCTTCAGAAGGGTCACTTTGTCTTCAGATCTAGTCCTAACGTCGGTAATAGAAGAGCCCCACACCCAGTGGTTTCAGCGATTTTTCCCAGCTATCATACACCCACAAATGACCAGTGTTTTTTTGGCTAAAGAGTGGGTGTAACGAAGGGCTAAGAGCTCTATTTACTGTATTTTCGAATCAGGGAATATGAGGGAAAGCACAGTTGGAGGGGAGCTGCATGGAAGGAATACAAGGAGATATATTACTGAAATTGGTATCCTTGGCATGTAGGCAGAGAGGACCTGCATGTCCTACATAGTCATAGACTCAGAAAAGACAATAAAGCGAATAAGAAATGAATCAAATTTTAGCACCCACTACATAATCTGCGGATCAAAGATTTGATTAAATCCAATTCAGGAGACTTACTTATGCATGATTTAACCTGGTTCCACCCTACTTGAGGTGGCTCTTGGAGATTTATCTAGGTTAGTTAAAGGTATAAACTTTTGAAGTCCTAGCTCAACTTCTGAATTATCTTCAGGCGTAAATGATGAACTAAATTGAAGCTAGTAGGCCTGAGCTAATCACCTGTCCACGGTGTTCTCTACGAACCAGTGAGTGAAATGTTCTCTCATAGCCAAGTTCTGTCAAGTTTAGCAATACCAAAGAAGGTGGCCCAGCAGACAATGATTCAAGACTCTTTGCCAGACAAATCTCTCACTTCCAATGAGATCAATTCATGGCTAAGCCTCATCAAGTTATAAGGACCCGGTTAATCCTCATTATAATGACCACACCTCTCTTCAAATCATGCTCTGGCTTCAAAGGAAATCCGCACACACGTCCACAATAATATAAATACTCGTCGGAGGGGACAAGTTTTGATGGACAAATATAGAGGGCATATTTATGGGATGGACGTGAGAGATTCCAGAGCAAGCGGATAAGATGTCGCAGATGATTAATACGATCTCAAAAGGAATGAGATCCCTAATTTTGGCAGAGATTATTACATATTTAATATTATTGTGCAAAAATGAACTTTGATTTCAAGAGTGCAGGCAACACTTTAGACACTGCTGTGCTTGGATGGTGCAGTGCAAATCATCGGGGCCAGTCTCCCAAGTAGATCCTGGAAAGTTTGGACATATATCTCACAAAATGGCATGAGACCGCCTGTACGAATCCGCATAACTCAACCTCATTTCTCGTGGTACTGGTATAGACGGATAAATAAGGAATGCTTTGTGAATCAAAGATTTTGAAACTTCCTTGCAGAGGTCCTCACGGATGAGAACTTAAGGTTTATGAAAGTAAGCACATCTTTTGGTGGTATTTGCGAATGAAATACCTAGTATGAGCTTTTCTAACGTCAAAAGAGGTATCTATCATGTACACCTTGGACCGATCTTATGCCATAGTCAGATAGCTGAATACTTATTAAATGATATAGAAAAAGTAGCCTTATCTACAGATTTAAACCTGATGTTGGTTCTATGGGAGCTCTGCACCCATAATTGACCTTCATTTCGTTGGTTGGAGAAATTATAAAATGATGGTCAAAATGCTCTTCTAATAGCACGGTAGACTGAAGACTTGGGATGAGTAGCATTATTGGAAGAGAGCCACAAACTAGGCAAGGAAAACAACATACTAACAGATAGATAAGTAAAGTTTACCAGAGGCTAAGGCCCAACACCTGTAAGTGTTATCCTCTACCAATCTAGGAGTAAAAACAAGTAACAGATAAGACTCAATCACTACAAAGGTTGAATGCGAGAAATATCGTCAAGACAGCAGTCGAGAGCAACGGCATTATTAAGTTTATGGTTGAAAATCCGACCTGCAGACATGTGATGCCTACACTAGCCAAATAATACAAGCATCTACAACCCAAATACGAATCACAGACCGCATAAAGCCTATCTGATGCTTGTATGAAAAAATGACATTCCTCATCATCTCCATTCTTCCTGGAAAATATTTTCTAGTTAAGCTTAGCTAGCACACTTACGTTAATATTACCACCTACCGAGGAATTCTGAGATCTGGGGCCAAAATCAAATTCAAGAATATGAAAAAGCATCAATCCCTTAGCAAACGCCGCGCCCTCTTAAGTTATGGCCTAAGTACCGACCCTAAATGCGATTACACCTCGGCCAAGGACAATAATAAGTTGAGCTACGGCAAATTTCTACCGACGAGATACGTACGACATTTCGCCGGCATATTAACGAGAGAATTTGACTAAGAAGCTGGTTCACGAGGCAATGATCCAAGATACTCCATATCACCTTTTACTCTCAACGAGATCGAATCCTATGTAAGCCTCACAGAGTCTCTAAGTACAAACTAGTCCATCCTCATCCTCATTTTCACGACCTCTACTCTCACAAAATATTCTCTGGCCTCAGCTGGCCGCTAAATATACGTCCTCGACATCACTAGTACCCGCAAGAGGATGAAAATCGTGGTGCAAAATTTTATGAGATAGTTCTTTGGGATAGGCGTGAGAGGGATCAGGACAAGTTCACAAGATGATGTAGAGGATGGATACAGTCTAGACGGGCGTGTAATTTCGAATTTTGGCAAGGAGTTCTACGAATTGAGCTTTGTGCGCGCCAAGACTCCGATTGCAATAGTGCTGATGACACAATAAATACAAGTCAACTATGGAGGGTGCAGTGGTCGACCTCCTGGTGGTGTTCTGTGGTATAGTTTGGGTAGCCTGGGCGCCTGCTTCACTTAGGAAGGAGTGTTGAGATAGTACCGACAAATAACGGTCACGGTACCGAAGGTGCAAACCTACCCCTAGCACTGCAACATGCACATCTACTGCTCGCCACCAAGATTCGGGCGCGGGAGCGCCCAGGTAAAAACTATACATGAAAGCGATCGGGGTGGCGACACCATAAGCCCCTGGAATATAAGTGCTAGCCGCAAGGGGTTGGGTACCACTCAGCGTATATGCAACAGCATCGAGTGTACAGGTGTATCTCGAGTGTCACTAAAGGAAACCAGTACGGTCGCCCCTGGATCAGCTATTCAGGGGCGCTCAACTAGGGTACTGAGCTGCGATTATAGGAGCAGTGATGCGACTGGCAAGCGGAGGATATACGAGAGCCGCAGGAGCAGCGATGGCCGCTCATGAACCGTGGATTCATGAGCGCTGGATTGGTAA